GTTTTATCGTTGGTCAAACATCGTAATCCGAAATGGGAAGTTCATTTTGGGACGGAGGTAGTACGATTTATTTACGATTTTATGAGCACACAATTTATATGTGATTTAAATCGATTTATTAATGTAGAATTATAAAATCGTACGATGTTACGATTCAAATCGAAATTTTAATAACCTTGCATACTATACAAAGTATATACTACCTCCGTTCTTAAATAAATGCAACACTTTGACTTTTACACTATTCACATGTTCTACTTTGACTACGTTTTATTTATTAATGTAATAATATTATTTTATGAAAAAAATATTGTTAAACTTGTCTCATTGTAAATTTTCATAATCTAATTTTTTTAATTTTTTTACTAATACAAAATCATTTATATTCATGGTCAAAGTTGTGTCTCGGCAAGTGTGAAATGTTGACAGTTACATTTATTTAAGAACGGATGAAGTACTATCGTATTAGAGAAAGAAAAGTTAAATTGAACGTTGTAACATGTGTGAGTGAGCTTTTCCCCCTTTTAGTCATACAATTATTATGTCACTAACACTTTTGATACTCGACTTTGATTTTTCCACATTAAACCCTTCAACTACTGCACAAAAAACACTTTTGGTACTCATCTTTAAAAATTTCCATATTTAATCCTTTGACTTTCATAAAAGTGACATTTTTTGTCTTTCAACTATTATAATAGTGACATTTTTAACTCTTCATTTATTGTGTTGAAATCAGAGTGAAAAACTAAAATTGTGAATTTGATAATGCTCACATAACTCCGACATAGTATGAGAATAGAAGTTTTCCTTTGGAGACAACTGATCAAATTTCTTCATTTCAAGTGGCTGGTAAAGCGTGAATGCTTGAATTAATTTATTGTTCTACCTTTAAGGACAACAAGTTTTATTTTAGTTATGATTCGAGTAGCAAGTTCAGCAATGCTATTAGAGTAAGCTACATAGATGTGGGATTAACGAATCTGATTTGTTCTTGAAGGCATTTCGATTCTATGTGTCATCCCAGTGTAACCTTGAATTATTGTATTGTTTCATTTCTTGTTACTTCTATCATTAATAAATAAGTTATTTGTTTGCAAAAAATCATTAGAAAAAAGGAGTTGGAAAAATGATTAATGATTCATAAAAATTCGTATGAATGGTTTAAATAAAACTGTATGAATAATTGACCAAAATGAATGTAAAATGTGTATAAGAAAAAAGAGTTCATCCGTTTTTTTAAAACTGAATTCATTATATTAACTGATGAAAAAAATTAACAATGGCACAGGTACACTTTCAAAAATTTGCCAAAACATATTTTCATTTCTCGTATACCGCACAATCGGCGTACGGAGTATAGTCGGTGACATTTTTGTAATTTTAGGTGAAAATTGCGGCTTCGATTAATTGGGCATCTATGTACATGTTTTGAGTACCAGACCTATCTTGTTGAGTATTAATAGTCTACTAGTGAACATCGTGATCTTTGCTTCAAATATTCTTATTTACTTAGCTTTTTCTTATTTTTTTGTTTATAATTTTTTTTTAAAAAAATATATGTATTATAATCAACTCATATGTATTTCAATATGTGAATTTAATTTAATTAAAACTTTTGAAATATGCAGGAATATCGTAAACTATGCTAGCTAGGCGTTAATCATATATCCTCTATTTAGCATTAGAACTCTACAATTGAGTATAAAAGTTTCAAAATCTATGAACCTTGAAATATCTTCATTGAGTATCACGTTCTCTACTATTCAATATTGAGACTATGTGATCAAATATCTTCATTGAGTATTGGAACTTCGCCACTCTTTTTAAAGTAATGAATTTGTGGTTATCTTCATTGACTATATTTTGTCAACTTTCTTTTTTTGTTTGATTCAAACTTTCCCACCCTTTTTAAAGTAATGAATTTGTGGTTATCCTTTTTCTTTCTCTTGTGCACAAATCTAAATCATATTGTTTTTTGTTTTCTTATTCTACATCTAAATCAAAGTAGACAATGTCCAATAAGACAAATGGAGTAGCATTCTTTCAAAAAGAGGATCGTGTGTTTGGGTTTCTCAAAATTGGACTAAACATTGCCTTTATACCCTAACTTATCATAATCAAGATCCGTCCAATGGTGATGACAGCTCGACGGCGGTCCGGCGACTGGCAGCGGTCCAGTGGCCCGAGGGCAATTGCTCTCCAACTCTATGCGTATATTTTTGTCAATCAAAAATAATAATTTTTTATTATGATGTTTTAAATTAGAAAGTCCTACTTTTGAAAAAATGTTACCAAGTGTTTCTTAATCCTTAAATCTTCCTAAAAACATGAGAGTGCTAACTTTCCAAGCATTTTTACTCAAAATTTTCCTTAATATCTATATAGGGAACCTAATATGTACCACATTTGTCCCAAATCGTTCAAAGTCAACATTTTTTAGTAAATCAATGTTAAAGTTAAATCTTCTTTATGACTTTATTTCTCGGAATAGTGCTAATTAAATTAAACAATTCCTAAAATACTGTTGGGATAAAAATAATTCCCAAAATACTGCTGGATTAGCCGTGGTTAAGGAAAGCCGTCACCCCCGATTGAAGTGGTGGCTCTTCTCTCACAGTACAATAGCCGTCAGTCCAAGTGTCGGCTCTTCTCTTACAGCACATTTTGTACATATATAAAAGGCGGTATGTTTCAAGAATTTGTTTAACTCCCTTCCCGATTGAAATTTGAGCTGAAATTTGGTATGCATAAACTAGACTTGATGAAGAACATGCTCAAAACATTTCATCAAAAAATTCCATCGAGTAGATTCTCTGGTGTTGTTGTCTGCATTAGGGTTTCGATCAGGACGTCATGACAAGAACCGAACACACACACACACACTTACATAGTTTTAAAATATGTAGGTGAATTTCCAAAATACTAGATTGAATGAAGAAATAATTGATCAGGCAATTTACAAAAGATTTAGGACAATCATACACCATTTAAAATTTTCTATTTTATATGTAATATTTTCATAAAAATTTATACTTTAATTACATGTCCTAAATCTATTGTAAATTGCCTGATGAATTATTTCTCTATTCAATCTAGTATTTTGTGGAAATTCGCCTACATAATTTAAGACTGTGTGTAGGAGATAGTTCAAGTACGAAGAGATCTTCCCACCATGCAAAGTGAGAATGAATGTTGTGCATTCATTTCCACATGTAATGAATTCACATGTAAGTGTGCATTCATAAAAATGCACTAAATTTCATCAAAAACGCGGTGGCGTGAGGAAAAAGTGCAACTGTTTGCACTTTGCACGAGAATACATTTTTTTATTTGATAAAAAGCGCTTGCACTTTTTCCTCACGCCACCGCGTTTTTGATCAAATTTAGTGCATTTTTGGCACATGTTGAGCCATTATATGTGGAAATGAGTGTATTTTCATATGTAAATTTCACATGTTTAGCCATCACATGTAAGTGTGCATTCATAAAAATGCACTAAATTTCATCAAAAACGCGGTGACGTGAGGAAAAAGTGCAACTGTTTGCACTTTGCACGAGAATACATCTTTTTATTTGATAAAAAGCGCTTGCACTTTTTCCTCACGCCACCGCGTTTTTGATCAAATTTAGTGCATTTTTGGCACATGTTGAGCCATTATATGTGGAAATGAATGCACAACATTCATTCTCACTTTGCATGGGAATACCTCTTTGTATTTGAACCCACCCCAAAGCGCGGTTCCGTTAAGAACGGACTCGCATGAGAGAAATAAAAATGAATATGGACCGTTGGATTGTATTATGTGGAACTGAATTGTGCATTTGGTGAAACTGAAATATGCATTAGATGATATATTTTGAAATTTGCAGAATAAAAATTTAAATTCAAGTGTGCATTAGGTGAAACTGAAATGTGCGGAATAAAAAGTACAAAACTAAAATCACATCGTACCTTTTATTCTGCACATTTGAGTTTCACCTAGTGCACATTTCAATTCACCCAATGCACAATTCAGATTCACTTAATGCCACTGTATCGTACCCTTTGTGTTGCACATTTCAATTTCACCTAATGCACATTACAGTTTCATCTAATGCATATTGAATTTCACTTAAATCAAATCCAATGATCCAGATTCATTCTCATTTCTCTCCTAAGATCATGTTCTTATTTGAACCAAAATCTATATGTGTGTGTTTGTGTGTGTCCGGTTCTTGTCATGACGTCCTGACCGGAACCCCCGTGCAGACAACACCATAAGAGGGTCTTCCCAGTGGAATTTTTTGATGAAATGTTTTGAACATGTTCCTTATCAAGTCTATTTTATGCATACCAAATATCAGCTCAAAGTTCAACCGGGAAGACAGTTAAACAAATTCTTGAAACATACTGTGTTTTATATATGTTCCTTATCAAGTCTATTTTATGCATACCAAATATCAGCTCAAAGTTCAACCGGGAAGACAGTTAAACAAATTCTTGAAACATACTGTGTTTTGTACTGTAAGAGAAGAGCTGCCACTTCAAGTGGCTGCTTTCCTTACCCACGGTTAACCCAGTAGTATTTTGGGAATTATGTTTAACTCAGTAGTATTTTGAGATTATTTATTTAATTAGCATTATTTCGGAAAAAAACTCTTTCTCTATGAATAATACTCCCTCCGTCCTCCTGTTATTGTCTCATTTCCTATTCACTTGGTCAACACAAATCACTCTTAATCTCTTACTTTATTTATCAAATTTTTATCAAATTTGATTCTAGTTTTTACGACTTTGTAAATCTATTAATGTAGTTTCAGAGTATGTATTTTTTTTTCCTAAAAATAATTTGAATGCGGACAGGGATTCTGCTTGCTTTATCGTGGGTAAAGCATCGTAAATCGGACGATAACAGAGGTAGTAGTTAAAGATACGTGGCTGGCTACCCGTCGATGGCCTTTTGTCACTTTCCTGTCGAACAACGGTACTATAAAATCAGACCTTAGACCCACTTTTCCAGCCTTACGTTTCCATGCTACACTATTAATCGCTTTATAAAGAAGTTTCATTCATACCCATTATATTTAAAAGCAATGAACAGGCAAGAATCTCTACTCTCCGCATCCCGCCGGCAGACACCGCCGCCGCCGGAGAAACGGCGCCGTCGAGAAAAACCCATCGGTTGCATGTCTGGAATCTTTCAGCTCCTCTCCAAATACCAAAACAAAACGAAACGCCTTACATTTGGTATATATTGGTTGAATTATTGGTGTACATACATACAAGTACTATCTATATTAGTTATTTGGTTTGGGAAATTTTCATTTTCATTTCTAACTCTTATTGGCATCAGATATCTTTAAAATAATTAAACATTATATTACGATCCTGAATTATTTCTCTTGATTTTTTGGAATGGAACTCCAACAAATGTTATGGAGTATTTATTTATTTTATTTGCAGGCAGAAAGAGAGAGAAATACTGTGAAGAAACATCTCCGGCCGCTCCAGAAAAGGTGATAGTCATGAATGATGATCATAATAAGGAAGTAAGAATACAAAGAAGCCCGGGCCTTTCGCCGGAGATCCGCCGGGAAAACGCTAAAGGCAGACCGGCATTGGTGCAGCGGCTGATGGGGTTAGAGGAGAACCAGTCGCCGGCGCCGGAATGTGAACTATCGTTGACGGAGGTGAAGAGAAAGATGTTGCTGCAAGCCTTAGAGAAGTGCAACCAAGACTTGGAAGCGCTTAAGAAAATTATACAGTCCGTGGAGTCGTCGACGTCACCGGCGTCTCCGCGGCTGCCGCCGGCGTGCTCCAAGAGATGTACGGAGCATCAGGTTTTGAGTCCGATCAGTGTGTTGGACGAGCAGATGATAAGTCGTTCGCCAAATTTGACCAGAAGTCAAGATACTGAAGGTTTGTTTCCCATATTTCCTTTATGTTTTTTAAATTTCTTAATTGCAAGCTTTGTAGTTTGTACGAGAAGTTCATCGCCGGTTCTGTTCGCCGACCAAAGGCGGCCGGATTGTGGAGACTGAAGAGTGCAAGGCAATTACTTAAAGTTAGATTTTTTTTAAAAGGATTATTAGAGTTAGATTTAAAACAGACAGAGAACAAAATAAATGAGTACTCCTCGGACAAAGTACTTACAATTCAGTTTATGTGCTTAACCGACGATAAAGCAAACATCTTTGTTTTCACTCAAATTATTTTTAGGAAAAAAAAAATACATATTCAGAAACTACATTAAAAGTTTTACAAATTCACAAAAACCAGAATCAAATTAGATAAAAATTTGATATATAAAGTAGACATTAGGAGTTATTTGTGTTGAGCAAGTGATTAGTGTCTGAGACAATCTTAGCGGGACGGAAGGGGTATTAAATCATTCGAGATAGATGATACGAAATAACACTTTCACTTATTAGGGCTTAGTATTTTGCATTTTAAAACTTTGCACACAAAATGATGGCAGATAAAGATTGGATAAATAATCACTTTTCATGTAAATAAAATATACATTTTGGTCTCATGAAATATTTATTTTTAAATTACGTCCAACAACGTTGCAATGCTCTATAAGAAACATGTAAAATACTTTGTAACCCTCATGTAAAATACTCCGTATTTTACATAAGGGGAAATCACATTTTTAGTCCCTGAAATAGTCACCATATTGAAATGTCAGACTCGTGTTCCCAATTTTGTATATGTCACCCTTCAATTGTTCAAAATGCTGTAAATGTGGTCCTTTAAGAGGTGAAATGTACAATGTGGGCGAGGAGTACATTTCACCCCTCAAAGGACCACATTTACAACAATTTGGATAATTGAAAGGTGACATTTACAATATCAGAAATAAGGGTCTGACATTTCAATATGGTGACTATTTCAAGGACTAAAAGTGTGATTTTCCCTTTACATAATATAGTGTGAAATGTTCTCGAAAAATACTTCCTTCCATAAAATTCTTTCCACTTACCATTTTGAGATGTCCCAAAAAATCTTCACATTTCTCTTTTCGAAAAGTTTTGTGTGGTTAATATCCATTTACATTAACTACAAGTAGGTCCACAACCATACATTTCTACTTTATTCACATTTTCTTAACAAACGTGTCAAGTCACACTAGGAAGTACTCCGTATTTTTTAGGACGGAGGGAGTACTATATAGTTTACATTAAATAAGCAAGTTATAAACTTTTTACATCCCTGAACTTTATTCTTCTAACTTAATTCTCTCTGAGTTTTTATAAATATATGCGATTAAAATTTTGACATTAGGATTAAAAATTGACCTACAATTATGTTCTTGAGGGCAGGGTATTGCGTCTCTTTCTCTCTTGTACTTGTACATTTTTGAGTTAGAGTTGAATAACAATAATACCCCCTTCGTCCTGTTAAGATTGTCCCATTTTACGTTTTAGGGAAGTCTACTAAGATTGTCCCATATCAAATTTGGTAAAGATTATGTGGTTCTAAATCATTCTTACTTTATCAATTTAATATCAACCACACAATTTACCTTCTCTCAACCCAATCTTAGTGGGACGGAGGTAGTAGTAAGTATCACTTCGTATTATTATAAGTTAATGTCATGCACTAATGCTACCTACTTAAACATAGAGTTAACATAAATAAATACTCCCTCCGTTCCTAAAATTTCTTCCCGGTTTGACTTGGCACGCTTATTAAGAAAGTGGAATAAAGTGGAAATGTATGGTTGTGGTTGTGTAAGAAAAAGGTAAAATGAATGTGAGCCACACAAATTGTCCAAAATTGGAAAGTGGGAAGTATTTTTGGGAACGGAGGGAGTATAATCACTCGACTAGTTGTTCTTCAAAATTTTGACATCATGAAAAAGCAGAACGTTCCAAAAGTTGTCGATCATAGGCTAACAAATACGGAGTATATATGTAAAATCAAACAAGATATAATGGACTTATAAATCACTAACTCAAATGTTTCAATGTATGATTTGTGAGTTATGTGAAAACATTTTAAAGTAATATTCCTTCTGTCTTTTATTACGTATAATTCTACTCCCTCCGCCCCAATTTGATTTGCAAAATTTCATTTTTTGGTTGCCCCAAAATGATTTTTCACTTTCTATTTTAGATATGTAAATAAGAATAAAATGACAAATTTACCCTTACTTTCACTTTTTCCCATTAACTTAAAGGCGTCTACTTTTAGAAAGATGGACAAAAGTGTAAAAAGAAAGCATCATTTATTGTCATTTTTTAATCCTTGTGCCGGTCAAAATTTGCAATTCAATTCGGGACGGAGGGAGTATCAAATTTGATCGACCCATGAAATAATAAATAAAAATTGTGTTCTTAAAGTAGAAAACATTAATTAGGTATTGGGTGAAAAAGATTTTGAGAAGTAAAAAAAGGCAAATTTAGGATATTAGGTGTACAATTCCAAGTCAGATCTATGTTACCTACTCTTACAGTATATGAGTGGGTTTGGACAGACAGACCCAATGGTCCGGGCACTCAATCCGCCACTACCTAAATGAGGATCATAGAGCGAACTAGTGAACCATGATACAAGATCACCTTGATTTATAAGAAGCCCTGTGCTAATTACAAAATCTAGTAATTATGTTGTAAACTTTATGCACAATTTTCAACTTAGAAATATATGTCAAATATTATCAACTCAATGTTCATTATTTCCAATCACGACCCTAAAATGGGCTTCTTTAAAAATACGCAAAACATTAAATACACCCCATCTTTGAGGGCTCCCGCCTCACAGAATCGACTGGACAATTATCTTAGACAATTTTATGTTTTCCAAATTAGGAGCTGAGGTCCACTGCTATACCCTGATACCATGATGTAATTTCATGCAAGTGGCAAGAAATGCGTGTGGATGATGATGGTCCATGAGGTGGTGTTTCTCATCTGCTAAACAATCCACATAATTACTGATGATTATGATGCACTAAAAATATGATGAAGGTACTAAAGTCAGACAGAGCATCCAAACAAAAGGCAAAATAAAGCACTGTGATTATTGCTTTAGCTAGCAGAGCTTCTTCACCTTTTTTCTGGTTTGGGTCCACTCCCACATTCAGCTTTCCTACTTTTCCTCTTTTCTGATTTTGATGAAATTAAAGCACTAAAAGAACATTATAGGAGTACAGCCAGACAAAGGAACTTCCGAAATCTCCAATAAATGTGTCTTAAATCTAATATGTTTTGTTGTCTAGCAGCTACTCTATTGTTTGATTCTTGCTAAAAGAAATGTGTTTTTATTTACCCCTTATAAGCTTTCATCTTAAACGGTCAACATGGTAGGAAAAGTATTGCCTATTCTTATCTTTGTTCGTGGTGACTGGTGAGATGACTTGACATTTTTATTATATTCAACAGCATTGTGCACAGCACAAGCAACGCACAATGTAGCCATAGATGGAAGTATCAACTCTATCCTCAAGAAATTGAAAACAAGTCACTTCCGAACAAAGCGGGAAGAAGTGATTGTCTCATCTCCGGTGAAGTGGCGCAGCAAAGCAGTGGTCAAGAGTGTGGAGGAAGTTTGCAGAGACATAGCTTGTGGTGAGCATGGAGAGGCTAGAAAAATTGGAGTGCTTTTACAAGATTATATATGCAAAGAGTTGATTCAAGAACTAGTTAAAGAGTTGGGCTACTCAAAGTACTCTCCTTGGAAGCATTCTCTTCCCTTTGAGGCATGTAGGAGAAGGCTTTGTCTCTAAACCCAAACCCAGATAAACCAACAAGTGTGTCAGTGTGTGTGTGGGCTTTGTTTTCTCATTTTTACACTTCTATTTGTAGACAATAGTATCTGTAAACATACCATAACATTATATAGTTTATTGATTGATATAGTTTATCACGTGCTCACTATCAAAATTATTTGATCAGTTTTACATCATCTACCGGGGAAAATGCATTTTGGTCCCGCAACTATCAAATATCAACAATATTAGTAGTTGCAATTTGTTTTATCAGTTTAGATCCATTACTTCCAAAATACCAAAACTAGTCCCAAAGGCGCCGTAATTTGATAAAAAAGGTCAAAATGCATTTTGTTTTAGATGCTAGTAGTGCCTAGTCTTCTGCATTTCTATTCATATAAAAATGTAATTTGCATTTTAAATTTTATAAAATTGCTACTTCACCGCATTCATTTGGATGCAAAACTTGAACAATACTTCATTGGTAAACTGGGCAATTTTTAATGACTTTGGGACTATATTATACGGAGTATTATTCTTGATAGTTTTGAAATAAACGGCTCTAAAGTGCCAAAACAAATCTAACATGGCTAGTTTTGCAACCCCTATATAGTTATGTAACCACAAATGCATATTACCCGTCCTTCACAAAAGAGCTAGGGAAGGGGTAGCTCCCCCCCCCCCCCCCCCCAGTTGACATAGTGCCTCTAAAGCCGATTCCATGTATTGGCGTGAATTGAAGTTCGCAAGCCAAAATAACTTCATGGGAGATTAAAAGAACTGGGAGAGAGTTGGAAATCCTATGAGGCTGTGCTCCATGAATAACTTCAACAATTGTGCAGCCAAGCAGATCCATAAGCAATGAATCGTGTCTTTGTCTGTAAGAACTGATACATAAAGAGAAGAGTAATGTAAAGGTGCCTTCTTTGTGAACACAAAATTGCAGTTTCAATCAATGATGAAAATCCAGAGATTTATAAACATTTCATTGAAATTTCTGTATTTCGATATTTCTGTTATCGATAAGGGATAATGTTTTTTGCTAAACTCAAAGAAAATTTGGGAAATGTCAAAAATATTGGAAAATGCCAGAACATTTTAGGAAATATTGGGACATACTGAATATTATATTTGAAATATCAGTAACTAAATTGTCTTTTTCAAATAAATTTACAAAATGTACTTTTGTTCCAAAAAAAATCCCCCATAACAAAAGATCTATCAGTAATCCTATACTATATATTGGCAAGAGTAATGATCACCTCGGGTAGTTCTGATGGCAAGCCTCGTCCAAACTTGTTCTTTGAGGGTCTTCCGGGTGAGATTTTGATAGAATTCTAACAGGTGTGTAAAATTTACAGAAATGATGAAATAGGATTCAAGAAACAATCTCAAGCTTCATTAATGGTGAAAAGCCAGTACAACGAATTCTCAGTCCCAAAGAGAAGAGACAAAGTATCTCTAATCTTTCCAGTCCAACCAACTAACAGCCTATTCTCTTCTTCCCCCCTTCCCTACTCTTATAGTATTTCTATTTCTTTAAGGGCTGGTCCATTATTCCTGATTTACTACATGGCCCAGAACCTTCATTTATACACTATTACACTCTTTACTACTATTCTATTATTCTTATTAGTATTATTGTCCGTGTTCCTATCAATACTCCCCCCCTGAAAATCCACCTTGCCCTCAAGGTGGATGATAGGAAACAGCCATGATCTCCCGCTTCCACTTCATCCTTGCGCCTCTCCCCTCCCAGTACTTGACTGATTGCTGAACTAGGAATTTCAGTACCAAATCTTTTGATATCACAGACATTTCAGCAGCAGAAGAGAAATCTAATGAAGTTTCATTCGCTTCAGTAACTTTCAAGAACTCAATAACAACACATGTTTCTGTACTAGATGCAAACATCTCTCTGTACCTTTCAACTTCTTCCTCTTTCCATTCTTTGCCTATCTCATATGAGAAGGAAGGCATAAAAGGCTTTAGCAAGCAAGCAAGGAGATACACTATACCAGCAGCCGTTCTCCTAACTATGGAACAGGAAATCCTATCTATCATGTAAAATTTCCAAAAATGGTTTTCTTGCAGGTAAGCCTTTCCCTCACCAGAAAGAGACATGGCCATTTTCAAGCCTTGCTTCAAATTTCCTTTTTTCCTGGCTTCAATGTATTGTTTCATATCCTTTCCCACTGCTTTCTCCATGATAGAATCTGTAATTCTGAGCTCTCCACATCTCCATGTGCATATGACAGACACAACTATATTTTCTTGCACCTTTTTAAATACAATCCCATGTAGGTCCTCAAAGCAAAATTCTCCACTGTTATCTATCTTTTGCACTTGATGTGTATTATTTTCTGGTCCATGAGTGACAATTACCTTTTCACACAAGTGTCTTTTGAAGGTAAGCTGGAATATAAATCAACGTTGTCTGCACTTACCTGGATGAGAAGACAAGCATGTCAACAACGAAAATAACAACAGGAGGAAATTCCCATACCTGTGAATTAAAGAATAACATCACTCTACAGCATCCTTGCTGAATGCAAGACTAAAAATGTGGGTTGGCCCCCACCCATGTGGTAGGCCATTCCAATATGTCCCAAAGTGTATACTTGGTCCCGAAAGTTGTATTTTTCGGACAGTTTTAATTATATTTTATTTTATCAGGTCAACATAGCAAAGAATTTAACTACCTTGACCACATTAAAATGAGATTTAATGCGAAAAGCAAAAAAGCATACCATCATGGCCACAAGGAAGATCTTTAAGTAACTCGAGACGAGGATTGCAAGCAGTACAGACCTATACCTGTCCAATTCAAGTAAATATAACAAAGAAACTTATCAGGTAAAGATTAAAGTGGTGCTTTCATATTCTCAAACAGTCGTTTAAAATTTTACCCAGAATTTCTAACAGTTGATTCCAGAAACCTCATTGCGCCAAATAGTAATGTTCCAAGAAAAACCAGGTTCCCAAAGATGACTCCAAACAGAACCTACACATTTCTAAACATAACTCTAAATGCAAAACCATTACGGTTAACCCTCAAACACAGGTGGTACGAACCTTTCCATAGATGGAGGCTAGTGAAGCAAAGGTTGTAGGCCAGATCCTCTCCTTAGGACTAGTGCATAGGATCATCATTCTACCTTTCATGGTTAAGGCTTATTGGGTGCTACAACACTAGAGGCCCCATTTGGTAAGTTTTTGTTGTTGAATCTACTGATTTCTTTCAAGGGAAAAGCACTTGGTAACCTCTATTTAAGCCAAATAAGTAAGTTAAAAGCTTTTTTGTATCCTGTGGGGGTATGCCCTTGTTTTCGGGATGGCTTTAGCTAGGCCTCGATATATGTATCCCCTCCTTTTGTGCTACTTCTTATTATCAATAAAAATGGGATTTTTAATTTAAATAAATCAGAAGCTAAGCTACTTATTATGTTGAAATAAGTTAACTATAGCTTGCTGAATGGGACATCGAACTAACATACTCTTATAAAAAAGTACTCCGTAATACATATGACTCATAACCTATTATGAAACAAAATATGCAAATGGAAAATGCATAAATTTTCTGTCAAGTGTATTGTAACATCACAAAATGGATACAAGAATCCAAGAGAAGGAATACCAATAGTGATTTCCATAATAATCCCTGCAAAAAGTAAAGGAGCAGCCAGCATAAACAAATGACTGGACAAGAATGCAATTTCACAGCTGAGAATAGATTCAGTTAAAACATACCTCAAAATTAAGTTTCTCTCGAGTAAACATATTGTCGAACAAGTGCCTGTAAGCTTTTCTTTTATGTAGAATCAAATCAATCAAGATAATCTACACCCATAAAACAAGACAGTGTGGCCGTTAATCCCATGAAACCACGATTCAAAGTTGAGATTTTTATCATCAATTTTGCCGAAGTACCATGATTTCGCATTCAATGTACTCGTCGGCGACAGTTTTACAGTTCTCCTCCAATTATAAAAAGACAGAATTAAAACCTATATTCAAGATTATTGAGGCCCAAGAAAGAGGAGACAGAAAAGTACGCATTTCATGAGACGTATGTTGCCAGGAGAGTATTGGATGTAGAGAGAGTTAATCGATGATCCACACTCCGACGCATCGAAGTTTTCCATATTTGTCCATGATGTTTACCAGAAAAGGAAGTAAACTAATCGCTCTACGACTTTTAAATTCTGTCTGCAGATCTACCAAGGAGAATGCAACCGACAACAGTATACTGAGCTCCGGCACCTGCAGTCGGCTACTATAAAATACACATAAACATAAATTCGACAACTATATCAAGTCAAGCTTAAACATGATCAAACCAGAACATACTACTATACTAGTACGTAGTACTCCCTCCTCCCTCGAAACTTTGACAAGTTTGAGAGTTGTGTAGAGGAGAGAGAATTAACTGGAACCACAAATTTCTTATTTTAAAGGGAAAGTGGCAAAGTTAATAGGACATCCAAAAAAGGAAAGTCGGCAAAGTTTTAAGGGACGGAGGGAGTATCATAATAGATCAGAAAATGCAGTTTAATTAGAAACTTAAAAAAACCGAATGGGTTAAACACTAGTCGAACAAATAAACCATGTTGTTTAAAAGGTGCTACTACCTCCGTCCCGCTATGTTTGTCCCATTTTACCTTATCGGTCCGTCCCAATGAGATTGACTCGTACCAAATTTGTTAAAGTTTGTGTGATTCTAATCATTCTTACTTTATTCTTACTTCATCAATTCAATATCAACCACATAACCATTTTTTATTAATTTTCGTGTCACTCTCTTGTCCCATTGTTAGCGGGACGAATGGAGTACTAAGTTTAGTTTTTACTAATCATTTAGCATTATGCATTGTTTAGTTCTTAATTCCCAACTCTGTAAAGTTAATGCTGGTGCTAAAATTATTATGATTTATAAGGTATTGCTATATGATATTCATGGTTTATCAGGTGAAGCACTTTTATATAAATTTTTATCTCTAGTTATAATACTCCTTACTATGACTAGGGTGGAAAATTGGGGTTATTGTTTGATTTTTATCGGTTTCAGTTTGGTTTTGATTTATTCAATTTCGGAGATATTGTATAAAACTAAAACTATTTGTTTCAGTTTGGGAGTGGTTCAATTCAGTTTGATTTCAAGTTTGAATTACCAAAATGAAATGATTTGGTTCAATTTAGTTATATTTGATTCAATTTCATGTGTCTGTTGATTTATTTGATCTATAGATCGAAGTTCATTTTTTCAGAAAAGAAAATGAAAATAGTAGTCCACCTCACATTGTTATTTTTATTACTAAGGAAAATTCAAGATAGAAAAAAAATAATAAAATATTATAAATTAACACTTAATTTATCTTCAGAAGGATTGAGTGTGCTTATTCAAAATCAAGAGATTATTGGTCGTATTTATGTTGTAGTTGTGGTGCGCTTATTCATAATCAAGATGTTAGGGGTCGTGTTCACGGTGTACGTGTGACGAGAAGGGCACCACACATATCCCACACATGGGTAAAGCCTCCCCGATAAGAGAGATTATGCATGCATATGATCAAGGTTGCTTTCGGGCGAATAATTAACTTTAATAAGTCCAACTTCTTTTGTAGTACTAAATACTAATGTTCCTGATGGGATGACGGGGTAGGATTGGATGGGGATGAAGAGAAATACTTGGATTGTCATCTTTATGTGCGAAGGGGGAGAAGGAGATTCTTAACTATCTTAGAGATCGGGTGATTAAAGAATTCAAAATTGGAACACTAAATTCTTGTCAAGAGTTGGGAGAGCAATTATTTAGACCACTGTTCTAAAAATCGTTCTAGACGCCCGATTAGTCCCCACCTAGGCTAGGCGGTGGTCGGGCGCCTCGATTTTTGTCTAGGCGCTTCGACTAATTGGTTTGGCACCACGGAGAATTAGTCGGCCGCTTAGGGGGCCTAATTGCCAGCCCAGAGCGCCTAATCGCCGCATCGGGCGTCTAGATTTGTCGAACATTTTTTTCTTTTTGTAAGAGATATATGTACCTTTAACTTTAATCACGAATATGAAGTAAGGGACTTGTAAATAAATTAAGATAAAAACTTTATATGTTTATTGATGGATAGTCTACCCGGGGGTATATATCCGAAGGGTTATTGCGGGGAGTAACTTAGAGAGAAGTCAGAGCAAGTGAATATAGAGAGAGAGAGTGTATTATAAATGTGGAGCGTTTTCAGCGTGGTTACAAATGGGGAAATGGGGTGCTATTTATAGTAGCAATAAATGCCGGGCAGGGACACGTGTCAAGCGCTCATTGGCCGAGGGGTCACCTCAACTGGTTGGCGCTGGCAGCCGCATGTGGCCGCATTTAATGCGGCTGTTGGGTGGGACGTCTGTGCGGGGTACGGTGATCTGTACGCATGTGAGGCAGATATCTTGTCGAGTGAGGTGCCTTCGGCTATAGAGCAGTAACCGAGGGCTCTCCCACCCGATGGCACCTTGGTGCCGAGGGCTCACAATGCCGAGGGCTACCGTTTTCGCCGTTTTCTCCCAGTTTCCTAATTTGCTTGAGAAACCCGCTCTGTGATAATTTGGAGCCTTCGGCCAGGGGGCCGAAGGCGCCCCTGTGCGTTGTGCGGACCGCTTGGTACTCTGGGCGCTGTGATTTGGGCCTGTTGGACCTTTGCTGGAGTAGTAGGAGTCTGTGGGCCAGGGGTTCCCGGGCCATATACTCCATCATTTATATATATACTTATATTTATATTATTATTTAGTATTTATAACATAATTCAATTAAGTGATTGATATATTATTAAATATGGTAATTCTATCATTCATGCATGTTAATGTGTGTGTATATATTTTTCACACACATACACAAACACAATACTACCATTTTACTATGTATTACTTATCATATTTATGCAAAAATATTGATAAAAATACAATATATGTGTTTCTCACTAGTCATCACCTAGACGCCCGCCTAGGCGCCTAGCTGCCTAGGCGTTAGGCGCCGGACTAGCTCCTAGCGCCTTTTAGAACATTGATTAGGCTATTCAGACTTTTACTATGAATGTTTTTCTCCTTGGAGGTAATTGTTCATTCATCTGGAGGAGCCTGTTTGAAGTTTTAAAAATCACCAAGGATGTAGGTGGCCGATGGATTTCATCCGAATTCCATCATGACTCGATTTCGATCAATTCGCGGGTATATTCACAGCCCGCAAGGGGAGCTCTTTAGTCCAAGAACCTACGAGTCATACGTGACTCAGATACGGGAACGGGGAACCCGACAAAACGTTCCCTATCGCCGGATTCTTCGAGCAATCCAAAACTATGATATCCTTTTAGAACAAAGATGATATCATAGGATTGGGTATTTGCCAGAACCAAACGGGGGAAGGGGATGACCCAAAAGTACCAGAGCCCCTTGGCTCCCGGACACATAGAATCATAAATTACGTATGAATGTGTCAAAGGCTTGGAAGAGGCATCAATAGCAGGGTTGTTGCACCTAGTTCAGGAAGAATAGTATATGGATATTCAAAAGGGTATTTTTAACAACCTACACGTAAAGCTGAATAGTATCATTCTTGTGAACAAAAGGTCAGTGCAGTACACGGTAGTTTCAGATGAGCGGTCAGGGTGGACATCTATGGCAAATTTCATCTACCCCAAAATAAAGCAATTTGTTTAACATATACTATCAACAAAGGAAATCTCAATTAGGAAAATACTCAATTAGGCCCTCGCATTTTAAAACACTCAATAGAACTCCCGTAATCTTAAGAAATACTCAATTAAGATTTTTTAAGGGTGACCAATTGGTCACCCAGCTGCTAGCACATGTGGCAGTCGGTGTGGCATTTGTTTTCATTTTTTTCTTTTTTCTTTGTTCCTTTCTCTTTCCATTATGGTTTTCTATCCTCCCACCTCCAGAGGGACTCCCACTACGTGGCTATATAGACGATCAATGGCAAAGGTAAACGGCGGCGAGACCACCAGTGACGAAAAATGACTGGAGAAGATGAAACCAATAGCTCTCTACTATCTTTTTCCTTTGTATTTAGTCAATATCCAGCCCTCACAGGTCCCTTTCATCTTTCTTTTCGATGGTGAGTGCTAAGTTTTCTAAAAACTCAATCGTGGAAGTTGACAAGAAAGAAGAGAATATGAAGGGAAGGAGTGGGATCAAGCATCCAATGTACTCATTCAGGATTAAATTGGGCATTACTGAGGTTGTCCAACAACTTCTCACGCTTCTCCATTCTTAATTAAACCATGTCGATGTTGAATTGTTCCCAACCCTGTATACATAACCATTACAGTAAAATGCAATGCAAAATGAGGATTTATAACTGAAAATGTATAAATTAAAGATTCTAAATCGTTTGGGAAATGGTTGCTCGATCGGCGGCGCTAGATACTAAGGGCGAGTCTGACTGGCCATTTTTAACTCAGCGCCGTTTGACACACATCACCCCTCTGATGGAAATGAAGGTCGAAGAGGAAAGTAAAGTAGTGAAAGCACAAGGTCGACAAGATCCGTGCAAGGAAGAAGCGGACTCAGAAGAAAGAGATAAAGGAAAAGAAAAAAAGGAAAGATAAAAAAAGCCAAACAAAAAGAAGGGGAAAAAGAAAAAAGGTTGCCAGTTTGCTACATAAGCTACCACGTGGGCAGCCACACTTGCAGGTTACCGGGAAACGGGTTGGTTACATGCTCATACGCCAATTGAGTGTTTTTTAAAAGTTCAAGGGTTCAATGTGGTGTTTTCGAAATGCGAGAGTCTAATCAACTTTTTTGACATAGTAAAAGAGCCTATTTGAAAGTTTCTGTATTTACCATAAAAATATCTGACACCTTTCCTTCCATTCATAAAACAAAAAGTCTTTGTCACGCACATGAGGAGAGAGGGGTTTTTCGTTCAAATAAAATAAAGAAGATGTCGGATTTTGGCTTCCCTCCAAATTTCATCTTTTACTCTTACACTTCTACTTTAGCTATAAATAGAAGAGCATTCATTACATGAATTTCAGATTTCAACTACTTCCAAAACTAGAAATATTCATCTACTATATTCATTCTACAAATGGAGTCCTTTGCCATAAAAATGTCTACTTCATCAATTAGCCATTTAAATCTGAATGCGGACCCCCCTTGAAGAAGATCATGAACTCATACCTACATCACAAAACACTCCCATAATGACAGGGATAATCGACTTAACTAAGCATGTAGCAACTGAAATCTTGCACACAGACTTCAGTGAAGGGGCGGGGGAGACTACAATGAACTTAGCATAGATAAACACACATAAGGACGATCACATAATACATATCTTAGGGAACCAACCCTCAGAATAATCACAACGAAATCAAAGGTCACTTAGCATAGACAAACACACATAAGGATGATCACATGAAACATATCTTAGGCAACAAGGCCTCATAATCATCACAAAGTCATCACATGTCAATTAACATAGGCAACACACATGATCATGATCACATGTTAGACATCCTAGGCTAATACAACTCAGAGTCATCATGGGGCACTAAGCATAAACAAACAAATATAATAATGATAAGAGGCTACATATTCTAGGCTAACACACCTCAGAGTAATCACTAATTCATCACATGTCACTTAGCATAGGAAAACATAGTTAATCATGATCACATGTTACATATCCCTGTTTAACACACCTAAGATCCATCTTAAGCAAACACAGCTCACATTCATTAAGCAAAATGGGGTTATCACATTCAAAGAAGTGAAATAACATTTCCAAACACACAACATACATCATAGGTGAATCAACATACGTAACACACATCTGCGTCACACATCTAAAATCACAACTCTTAAATCATCATTAGTCAAACAACAAGTTAAACCGACCTCTCACAAACATGCAAGGCTGAGTCAACACCCCCTTAATCATCATAAGTCCAATGTCCATATAACATTAAGGACATAAGGAGTAAGGGTTGAGAAGATCACTATCCTTAAGGACACTGTCACTCTCTTTTCCTTCTCCCTGTGCTGGTTCTGAGTTCACTTCATCTCAATCTTCTGAATCCAACCCGTCCAAACCATCGTATGTATCTAACATGAGGTTGGGTCAGGCCCGACCCGAACAAATGGAAGGCCCTGTTCAAAATAAAATCAGAGGCCCTAATATGTAATACAAAAAATGCTAATAATAAAATAAAGTAATATACAATTTTATCACAACACTTCATACTAATACAACTGAATTCTACTTATTGAAGTAATATACGAAGAGGCAAGAACATCAAAATTTCATCCAATATTTGAACATATTCTACACTTATTTAAACAATCCTATAATTCTAAGATGTAGACTAATCCAAATTAACAATTAAAAAAATAATATAACCAATTACAGGGAGGAGAACAAAAATAATCAACGACTCACTTACTCGATATGTTGATTAATGGAGCTATTGAATTCACTAGGTGTCATTGCTATCCCAAGACCTTAAACCCCTGCGGCCATGCTCTCGCTTCTGGAATCAGGTTGCTTTCCCGCTTGACGCCTTGACTAGTTGTAATCGCAGGTCGCAACCACGCAGGACAAAAGTCTCCGACTGAAGAATGAAAGATTGAGGAAGGATGAAGAAACCGAAAGAAGTTCATAAATTCTGGGAATCGCATGGAGATAATCGTAGGAGATAGAGCCAAGACGTTCAGAAATAATGGAACATAGGAGATATTTAACATTAAAATCCTAACAACATATAGCATAAATTGATTAAATTCCATGCCTTTTCGATGTTTTCGTAGCTCGAATCTCAATCTCGGTATTCTCCTCGAAAATAGCTTTGTTACTTCGATTCCCCAAAAAATGGTAGATGAAGAGCCAAGACTATCCGTATAAGCCTAGGCTATCAGCGAGGATTGGAAACTAATGAGGCGCAAGCTTTATGCTCTACTGAATCGGGCTGTCTATCTAAATTATTCTTTACTAATGGGCCCAGGTATACTACAAGGGTAATAAAAATTGGGAGCCCTTACAAAATTGGGGGCCCTGTGCAGTTGCACCAATTGCACATGGGCTGGGCCGGGCCTGGGTTGGGTTCGTATTTCTCACGTAAGGGACAGTTCAGATTAGTTTCAAATGAGCTCGAATAACCAAAACGAACTATGAATAGTCTAAACAAAAGTGAGTCATGGTTTCCAATTGTATGTGATACTTTAGCTTCTACATCTACATTGGACTTACTATCGGATTCTGAGGCTCCAAATCTGTAGCCTGTGCCGATTTGGGAAGGTGGATCGGCTTAGGATATGTAGGGGCTAATGGTTTCCGATCCATTGGTGATGGAGGTTAGTAGAAGGATGTTGCGACAATGGAGATGAGTAGAAGGACTGTGATGATGGAGGTGCGTAGAACGAAGGGTGACAATGAAAGTGAGGAGAAGGAGCTTGCACGTGGTTGGGGGTGATGAAAGACACATAGATAGAAGAGAGAGATAATAGAGCGTGTGAGGGTGAAATGCCAATTAAGATTGACTACGTGAGCCCAAAGGATAAATGAGAAAAGATATAAAGGAGATTTGATAGGAGATGTTTGAATTCACTTTGCTACTTCAGAAAGCATAAACACAAGCCAATATTCCAAACACCCCTTAAAAGTTGCCTAGGAAATAAACTGCTTTCAGTTTCAGGTGCTACGCAAAGCCGCTACTAGTTGTACAAATCCAGTCTGATCCGGCGGGAATTGAATCTCCATGGCAGCTACTGATCCGTTTTATTCAGCAAAGCTGATAGCTACTCTTATGGCTGTGGCACTTGCCGCTGTTGTGAGCGGAAATTCGGAAGGGGACGCGCTGTACGCTCTACGGCAAAGCTTGTCGGACCCCAACAACGCGCTCCAGAGCTGGGATCCCAATCTCGTCTACCCTTGCACCTGGTTCCATGTCACCTGTGACCAAAACAACCATGTCACTCGCCTGTATGTTTTATTCTTCCCTTTTCTATGCTTCCCAGTATATCTTTACTCCAATTTTCAAGTCTTTCTTCCGAATTATCTTGAAATCTTAGGTTAAAATTTCTAATTCACTAGCTAAAGTAACAATAGCTTCGTCTCTCCCACAAAGAATCTTGTTTCACCCAGCTACAACTTTTTTATTTTGGTAATCGTTAATCATACTTCAACCTAATTTTGTGGTGGGTTTAACTAAAGATAATGAGTATTTTATGCACTATATGAAATGTAATTATTTGTTTGAGAAACTGGAGAGAGTCAGAGAGAGGGATGCTTATTTCAAAGTTGATAGGTCATTTTTTGGACTTCAAAGCTAGCAGATATCTGGGATCGAAGTGATTAGTGACTAAATGTCAATTTGTGATGCTTCATATCAAATTTGTAAACTGAAGTCTGTACATGGATATTTTCATTCATGATGAAATGATGGACAAGTAATAATACATAGTAGAATAAACCCAAAGTCACAAACTTGGTAGTTCTTGAAGAACTGGATTGTTTGAAAAGGTTGCAACTTTGTCTTTTGAGATGCTGTAAACCACTCCATGAAATTGTATAGTTAGCTTTCATAGTGGTTTTCAGTAGTTTAATCCACAACCATGTGTGAATATCCTTTTTTAAATAATGGTCTTGGTTGTTTTCATTTTAATCCTCTCTTTTTTCCCCTAGTTTAATCTATTTTAATTGTTTTTTCTATTTTTTGTATTTAATGGATCTTCCAAGAACCATTTGAACAAACATATTTCACTATCTACTGCAGGGACCTTGGCAATTCAAACTTATCTGGTCACCTGGTGCCTGATCTTGGGAAGCTCGAACATTTGCAATACCTGTAATAATAGTCTATATGATAATTTTTCCCACCTTTGGACATATAGCTTTTCATTTGTCTCACACTGAAATGAGGCAATGAAAAACTAATGAGTAATCATAATGCTAAAATTAATGCACTTGTTATGTTAAAACCAGAAAACTTATTTGTGCAGGGAGCTTTACAAGAACAACATTCATGGGACAATTCCTAAAGAACTTGGCAACTTGAAGAACCTCATAAGTTTAGATCTGTACAACAACAATATCTCAGGGACTATTCCTCGTTCGTTGGGGAAACTGAAAAAACTTGTGTTCCTGTAAGTTTAAGTCTATTAACTTTCTTTTTTTGACTTGCAGGATTCCATTTGTTTTACTTTTTTTTTTGTAAATGAGCACATGATGTTCTATTGTTCTCCCCTTTCAATGGATGTAATGGGCAGCAAAAAACACATGTTTTTTGTTGATAAAGAAATCACTAATTTAAGTTACATTCACAGGCGTATTAACAATAATAAGTTAAGTGGGCCAATCCCACGGGAGCTTGCTAGTGTCTCTACCCTTAAAGTCATGTAAGTAGATTTATGAACTTTAAGTTTTGTTCTTTTGCACCAACTAACTTGCCACTCAGTGTAAAAGTTCTTATTAATGAAAAATGAACTCTAATCTTTTCTCTTTTCCAGGGATGTGTCAAACAACGATCTGTGTGGAACGATTCCAACTTCTGGTCCATTTGAGCATATTCCACTGAACAAGTGAGACTTTATTTATCTCCACTTGTTTTTTTCCGATTTCACATGTAGGGTTCAGATGAAAATTCTTCTATGATTTCTTTGAAATATGATTTTTAAGAGAATGTGTGGTTAAACATTTGAGAAAAGCAGTGATTTTTTTAAGGAAAACGTGTGGTTCTGAATTAGCATATACAAAATAGAGAATAAACCTTTATTGAAGTAGAAATTTCATATGCACCCTTAGTTATACTACATCTATATTCTTTTGTTTGTTACATTAGTCTTTTGACAAAGTTTATAGGTAGAAAAAGTAAGGGTGATGAATAATTTAGAAAAAGCAGGAGAGAAGGTGGAAAAGACCGAAAAGTATGAAAGAGAAAATAATTTTGCTATATTCCACTAGAAATTCATTCATTTAACTTGTAAAAACTAATATCAAAATATCAAGTAAGTCATCACATGTCTAAATAACTTTTATTTGATGGCTTGATATCAGTTTTTTATGTCTTAGATTATTGGATTTCTATTCAGAAAGTGACTCCAAATTATTTGTGTTATATATTCAAATAGTTGGTATTATTATATTTTATTTCCAAAGTACATATTATTATTGATTTACAAATGATAGTTGGTATTATTTAAAGTTTTTCCCTTAAAAATTATAAAAGTGGTTCGAAGCGCAATATCACCTTAGGATAAATGACTTTACATCCATGTATTTTTCAACGCGATTTTCACTATGGGTCATTCGGAAACAGTCTCTCTGTGCTTTAGTACAGGAGTAAGACTGCGTACATCCGACCCCCCTTACCTCACCATTGGTGGGAGCCTTTGTGGCACTGGGGTAATGATGATGATGATCGTTATTGTTTGATTTATATCTATATTGTTTAATCTACTTTTAGGAGAATGTGTTGTTTTATAATATGTGGGGTACGTTGAAATGTTGAAACGTAGTTATAATAATTATTATTCAAAATTGAATATGACATCAATAGGTTGTTATTAGTATGTTGTAACTTTTTTAAATAATGATTTTAGAATGTCACTAATTTACTATTCACTAGTAGCACCGATTTTGTATATTTCATTTGACATCTAACAATAGGGAAATTTTAGGGAGACATGTATGACTCCACTATGGAGTCATATGTCATATGTGGCATCACCATAGCCACTCATTTACATAGTGGGGTCCTCCATTATAATTACACTTTAGAAATGAGTGGCTATGGTGATGCCACACATGACATATGACTCCATAGTGGAGTCATATATGTCTCCCTAAAATTTCCCTATAAGTCTATAACGATATGTTGTACTGGAATTTCAATATGACATTGTATTTTACCAATACCTTACCTTTACTGTATCAAAATTTTGGTATACTGAAATGCTGTATAACGAAAATTTGCTAAGGTAGCGGTATGAGATAAAATATATTGTATGTCATACCAAATCACCCTGAGGCTACATACCTTCAGTCGAGAGAGAAAAGTTTATATTGATTCTAGTCCCCTCATAATCTATTAACATAAAGTATGATTATCCATGTTATTCTTCGCTCGTTATATTTATTTTTAATATTATTAGGCACTAGAGCTTGTTCTATTTATTGTATTCGGGATGCCATGTTTAATTTTTTTTAATTAAAGTACTTCTCACACCACATAAAATGATGTGGCATAAAATGATGATTTCACACAAGCTTACGCATTCTAAATACATTTGATAGATTTACATTTCTCAAATACAACTTGAAAAAAAAAATTGCAAATCAAGTTGGTCCCACACATTTCTCCTTTCAGCCGTATTCATATCCGATCTTGGTATGTTATTCTACAGTTTTTTTTATTAATTGATTGATGTTAAAGATCACTATAAACTTGTGAAAAGAGTTTAAAAGTATATCAAGGTATACTTTTCATATACTCCCTCCATCCTTACATAAATCTTCTTAAGTGTCTGTCAATTTAAAAACCAATAAATTTAGCATAGTGTATGTTTAGGGGAGGTTGTTTTTAATTGAATTAAGTGACATCCCCAGAAGAATTGTATGCTTGACAGAAGAATTTTGGGGAGTTTGTTTTTAGTTATGAACTTCTTGTGTATATGAGAAATGTCAGACTTATTTAGAATGTATAGGTTTTGCATCATCATCCTTCAAGGTAGCTACACTAGGAATATTCATTAACATGGTTATATGAGAGTATGTGAAAAGAATTAGACTAAGGTTCTGAAATTCAAAAAATTGCAAATGTTAGTATTTAAAAATGCTGAGAACTTTTTCTTGTATCCCAAACTTTTTTGTGCTTACAGAGTTACAGCTTACCTAATACCCAGAACTGCAACATTATGAAGAAAGAATATATTCTCCATAAAAGTAGAATAAATAAGAATTTCAGGAGGAACTAATACCAACCAAAATGATATGGCTGGTGTTTACGAAGGAAGTTGCGTCTAATTTGCAGTGAAGGGCCTTTGTGGCGAGAAAACAAGAATACCAAGCCATCTAGCATAAAAGGTTTCATACTTACATAGTTACATGTGTTTTTGTTTATGGGAAGACATTTAACATTTATGACAGTTCATTTGGACTGAAATTTATAGGCCTGTATTTATCTAGTCTAAGTGGTCTGGTCAAGTTTGGTCTGATCTAAATTGGTCCAAGTATAATCTTGTCTGATCTAGTCAGCCCTGTGATAAGTCTAAGTGAACCGGTTGTTATTCTGATTCTACATCCACCTGAAAGGTGTTATAGTTGTTACCAACAACGCCATCTCAACGAGTTCTTTTTTACCCAAATGTTATGAGCTTTTACCATTCTTTACAAATACACCCTTAAATTTTCCATTGCCTGACGGTATAGTGATAATTGTTCCCTGTGTATTGAACGTGCAGCTTTGAGAACAATCCTCGAATGGAAGGTCCAGAGTTGATGGGACTTGCAAGTTATGAGACAAACTGCTCTTAAATCTGAGAGTTCTTGAAGTTCACATCCCATATTTCCATTTCCATATCTAAGCAGCTAAGCTTGTGTGTATGTGTAGTGCAGTAATATGATTGAATGTTGTACTTGTAAAATAAAATACCCTCACTTGAGACTTTAGTTTTGTCCTTTTCAACCATTTGATCCTTAGAGGTAGTCCTGCTTTCAATATAAAAACGAACTTGTTGAAGTTCTCATTCAGTGTTCTTCAATCAACTATTACCCTTTTAATCTCAGGTGTTTGTATGTTGAATATTCATCTTATGTGGGCTCATTTTTGCTGTTCACTAGAAATTTTAGTATAATTTTAAAGTGTTTACATTTAAAATACTACTCCGTAATATTTATTTATAAATTTTATTGGAGAAGCCTTTTATTTTTTGCCAAACATAGTACATCCAAACATGAACCTTAATATGGAAAGAAAGAGACTTTATTTTTTCCAGCCTCAATGGAATCGAACATAATTTACACAACGATCAGAGTCGCGTCTTGTGAGAACATTTATTCATCCCATCCAACATCTCCCATGAGATAGTTTGAACCTTTGAGTAGGGTTGGACTCGGGCCGGGCCAACCGGCCCGGAACCGGACCGGTCCGCTACTGTGCGGGCCCGGCCCGGCCCGGTGAACCGGTTGGTTGGCCGGTTCGGGCCACCCGACTCGGTGGGATGGCGGTTCGGGCTCGGGCCCTTCAAAAGGTGAACCGGCCTGGCCAGTTCGGGCCTGGACCGGGCCAATTTTTTTTTTTGAATTTTTTTAAGTTTTTGGGTTGGGCTGGGTATTTTGGGCCATTTGAGGTGGTTAGGGTTGGTTTGGGGGTGAGGGGGAGGGTTGGGGGTTAACTAGGAAAAGCAAAAAAAAAAAAAAAAAAAAAAAATAGAACTGAGGCCCGGCCCGGCTCGGACCCGGGGGTATTTTTTTAAGTTTTTTTGCTTTCCTAACCCCCCCCCCCCCCCCTCACCCCCACCCTCCCAAACCCCCCAAACCCATCCTACCCATCAAGCCAAACCCGGTTGGAACCCCAAAAATGAAAAAAAATAAAAAAAATTCAATTTGGCCCGGGCCCGACCCGGCCGGGCCGGTTCACCAAAATTGAGACCCGAGCCCGGACCCGCCCTACCCCCCGGGCCTAGGCCCGACCCGGACCCGAGAACCGGGCCGGTCCCGGTCCCGCACAGTAGCGGGCCGGGCCGGTTCACGGGCCGGGTGGCCCGACCCGAGTCCAACCATATTCATTTGTATATGTTCATTTTGTGTAGGCTTATACTCATTTGAGATCAATAGCAACAAAGATTCCTGAGCAACGAATTAGACTCTTGTTGTAATATTATACTTTTAAAATATGAATGAATATGACATTTTAAAACGAGTATTACACTTATATCAAATAGTATACATAAATTACAAAATGAGCATTCATAAAACTCATTTGAAATGTCTACTATGCTCATAATTTCGTTTATTATGCTCACATCTGAAGAATTACGTATAACTTAGATTTCTCTAACCTGTGGCCAACAAGTGACCCAACTCACTCACCAAACTTAAGTAAGAAAAAGAGAAAAAGGTAGAATCCAAAGCAAGAAAGAGGGAGAATAAGCAACTAGGGCTATACACTAGGTGTTGCGCAGGAGCCGCCGCTCAAGCCAGAGTTTGAGGTGCTGGAGAGTTGCGGCTGTTGAGAATTGTCGAGAACGATCCGCGAACTGCGATGGAAGCCCAACGACATGCGATTTGCGAACTAAAAGGCCGGCTGCACCGTGCAATTCACATGGCAGTTTGAGGGGTCAACTAGGATTCTGAACCCGATAGATTTGTTCAATTTACCCCCTCAACAAGTGTCAAAATTGCTATTAAAAAAAGAAATTAAAAAATAAGAAATTAAAAAATAAGAAAATAAAAAATAAAAAAATAAAATAATATACAAGTTCATAATATAAAATATAGACGTGTATTTATAATATAATAAGAAAATTTTATACAGTGAATTTTTTATGGTGTATATTATTAGTATGAAAAATACTATATAATTCTAGAATAAAATAATACAAAGTATATATACATATATGCATGTGTGTGTAATTTTATATATAATCTAAAACATAATAAAGATATTAAATAATATCAAATGAAAAATATAATTCTAAAATATAAACATAACATAAATTGTAAAATACAAAACCTAAAATATGTTTTATAATACCAATTATCACATATAATACACAAAATACAAATCTAATTTTAATTAGGAAAAAAATGTATTGTTTATTTTGTTTTAAAAAAATAGATTTAAAATATAAAAACAGTTTTAATGAATTTCTTTTAGTTTGCATTTTATGAATTTACCGTGAGTATAAATGTATCCTTATTATATTATTTAATAGATGTCTATATTTTTTACTTTTGACTTGTATCATATTTTATATTTGTATTTTCTATTTTTTGATTTCTTATTTTTTGTGCAATTCTTACACTTTTTAACGTTTGAGGGGGCAAAGTGAACAACTTTGTCGAGTTTAGGGGCCTATTTGACCCCTTAAATTGCCAGGTGACGTGGCGGTGACCTGACTTTTACCTGCAAAAATGAGATTTTAATTTTTTTGTCGAGTTCAGGGGGTGAATTGACCTTTTTTAGAGTTCAGGGTGCGAATTGAGCATTCCGGATAGGTACAAGAGCCTATTTGACCCTTTAGCCAAAAAACTATTCCCTAAATTCTACATTGGGAGAAGGAGCAATTAGACCACTAAGGTAAACCTCTAAGAGCAAATAAGACACTAAGCTAAATTTAGGAGCAATTAGACCACTAAGGTAAATCTCTAAGAACAAATAAGACACTAAGCTAAATTTAGGAGCAAAAAACACCTTTTTGATGAATTTATTACCATCATTTAGGCAACTCCCTAAAACTCCTTAAGAGAAGCCAACTGTGAGTTCATCTTCCCATTAATTTTTTATTTATCACGCTTGGGGTCTTAAATAAAATTTTAAGACTAAACAAATCAAAACTTTAAGCATGTCAATGAGTTACATTATCATGTATAATGTAAACACCGAACGATGTAAATTCTTCTATCTAAAAATATTGAAAAAATCAATGCAGATATACAATAACACCAAACTGCTTCTTATATATACTACAATATTATATTAATTCTTCCACTTTTTTAGAAAGGTTCCATTAACATTTTAGACTTTTAGAGGCTTAACAGCAACCTGCCTGTAGCATTTTTTGGGTATCTACATCTGCCCTAAGTGAGGAGGAGGTGATCGGCCCATCAGTTGTGCTAACTTCGTATTATTGTTGTACTTTTAACTCTTTTAACATTGTTTTAGGGTTTAGGCCCAATGAGGAAGTCACTGGAAATAGGAAACTCAACATAAGGCAGTTTGGTGTTATTCAACCAATGATATTTTGGTTTCATATGGTTTCATATTCTAAGCTATGATTTATATGTGATTTTTTTTAGAATCTGCCTCTATCCTGCTGCTGATATATAATAACACTAAACTGCACTTTTAGATATACTACAAGATTAATTTTTCCACTTATTTAGAAAGGTTCCATTAAAATTTTAGTCTTTCAGAGACTTAACAACAACCTGTCAGCTTGAGAACCTCGGAAAGAATATTTGAACACAAATATAAATTTCCAGTGATTCATTATTTTTTGGCTTGAGATTATGATGGAATAAAGCAAAATGGCTCACTAAACTGTCTGCGCTTCTTTGTAATGAAGCAGCAGTCAGTCCATGCAATTTTGGACGTGATTTTCACTATGGGTCATCCGGAAACAGTCTCTCTGTGCTTTAGTATAGGGGTAAGACTGCGTACATCCGACCCCCCCTTACCCCACCGTAGGTGGGAGCCTTTGCGGCACTGGGGTAAATAAAAATGAAAAATGAAATATAAATTTCCAGTGAAACGAGTAGCATTTATTTGATATTTACATATGCCCTTAGTTGAAGAGGAGGCCGGTACTTAAAAATGATGGGCTGAACATTGATTTTGTTTTTCAACATTTTTTATGCATCAATATATTTTATCTACATTATTCTCTTTATGTTATTTCTCCCCGTCTTACATTATTATGCTAAAAAGAAATCGTTTATTGTCGATTCATTTTATCTTATACATAAAAGTGATATAAAATCTCATTTGTAGACAGTTAGTGATTGCTTGGACCTAGGGTTATTTTGATGATGGGTATATCAATAAGGAGAATACACGTACAAATTTAGAGCAGCACGCGGTTTCAATTTAGAGAAATTGCACTTTTTGTTTCAAGAAATAAGTTTACTGCTTGCAATAGATTGGCAGTTTTAAACTTTATTTAAAATGTAAGGTATGACTGAATTTGTCATAATGCTTTCTTCCAAAAGTTGATCATGTAAGTTATGAGTGAATTTGTCATAATGCCTTTGTAATCTACATGATGGAAGGAAAATAAAGGCAATTTCCATTATATAAGAATATAACAAATTTTAGACAGCTTTTCTTCCTAATCTGTCAAATTTTCTGGTATTTCTCTATGCCTAATTTACTTGCTTTCTTCTCATTTAGTATGCTAAATCTGAATTATTCACTCTACTCCTATAAATAAACTATTTAAATACTTTCATAACAAATGTTAGGGATGGAAGTCACTTTGGTAGAGCAGGCTAACAAAGAGAGGGTTGACTAAGAGGGGCTTTAGTGTCATGTCCACAAGAAAAGGAAATTAAATTTGAAGAGGCACCAATTCCTGACTCTGCTTAGGAACAAAATGATATCTAGGTTGAAATTACAGCAAAATATAGCCCTTTAAGGAAGTAAAGGATCGATAGAAAGCAGGGACCAATACAAACAAATTTCAATGACAAAAAAAAGCTGCACACTACGTATATTCTTCTTGAGATGAAGTGCTTTCAGATTTGAGGAAGTCAATGAAGTTATTGAAATGTCAAGCTGCAAACTTTTGTTTGGTCATTGGTGCTGCAAAAAACAGAAGGGGGAGGAATTTGGGTATTTTTCTGCAACTTAAGTGAGTGCTATGATTCTTGAGGAGATATAAGTGAGTGCTATGATCCTTAGGGAGCTATAAGTTTTGATTGCAGTCATTGGTGCTGCAAAAAGCAGCAGAGGAAGGGATTAACTGTTTTTTTTCTGCAACTTTAGGGAGTGCTATGATTCTTAGGGAGCTACAATTTAGTGATATTTGGCTGATTTCTCTCGTGTCATTTTTTATGTTAAAATTTGGTTGTTTACTTGGGTGGTTTCGACTGATATTTTAGGAATATGAAACTGCAAGCATCTTTATGAAAAGCCTATAATCTGTGTAAGAATACTC